AAAAAAAACTTATATTTACAAGTATGCATTTTTTTTGTGAGAGTATGAATGTATTTTCGAAAAAACTTTGCAACTGTCATGATGAGATGCTATTTTCAAGTTTGTATGACGCTCGTGAACTTTGCCTTGAATGATGTTTAGAATTCTCCAAACTGTTTTTCAGAATGAAGTTTGACACATAATTTGACGTGCCAATGACATTGCAATTTTTTAAGGAATTTATTTTATGTAAGGAAAGCACTTAATATAGATAACAATTGATTTACAAAAGGTAGCAAAATCGTTCTAACATTTGTACAACAATGTAATCCCTTGGTGCTTCTGGTTTCTTGCGAAGAAGATTGAACGAAATTAACTAAATTTTTGTATTTGCCCTTTGGTCCTTACGGGGTTGTTTTTGTCAAAGACATTGATGTAATATGTTCTTGTATTATATACTTTTTTTGCTTTCCACAATAATTGTAAAAGGTTGAAAAAAATGCGGTCACGCAATTTTAGTCATTTGTTAATATTTATCTATTGCTATTTTGTATGTCCTATAATTTGTTGCAATGTTGAAAATAAAATTGTAAACTGTTAATGTGTTATTTGTATGTCTTATACTTCTCTCATTCCATATCCCTGACATCAAACATTTTAATCTGAAACTCTAAACATGAATAGAAATATGTAATACAGTATTTTTTAAATTACTGTTACCTTGCATTTAGATAAATATTCGAAGTCTTGTTGTGACCTACCATAGGAATCGCGATAGTAGGCTACTAGTTCTAGGCAGTATTGCTACGTAATAATTGATACAAACTCTTCTATCCCTCTGAAAAATTGTTATATCGTTTACTAGTTATTTACTGTGTTTATGGACCTGAAAAAAAAACATGTAATAGTTTAATCCGTACCAAGCGTATACATTCGAAACTAATTATCAAATTGAGGTCTTCCTTGCACCAATGAGTTTCTCGTCGCGAGTTGTACCTACATAAGAGATTTTAGACACATCCAACAAAATAATTTTTTTTCAGATTTTTTGCCCCAATTTCGGGATTTGGGCTTCATTCGTTTTTAAGCGTATACTTTCGAATCTAATAGTCGGATTGACGTCTTCTTTGCAGCAATGAGTTTCTCGTCGCGAGTTGTACTTACATACGCGATTTCATAAAAACACTAAGAAATTCGGTTTTTTCCAATTTTTTGCCCAAAATTCCGGATTTCCTTCATTTGTTTCGGGAGAGAAAGATAGCACCAGTTTTCTTAATATCATCTGCCAAAATACTGAAATCAAAGTTTAGACAATACGAATAAATATCGCGACAGAATTCACTTTACTTCAATGGCACGACATTCTACATACTAACAAAAATGCTGAAGAAAATTCAGAATAAAAAATGAGCCACCTATGCCTGCTTGCATGCCCCTGCACCGAAACGAAACAAACACCCGGCCTACATTGCCAGCTTTTTTGAATTGCATTGAACGTCCCACACTTTTAGTTTCCGGCTTCACGTCGGAAACTGGTTGTGATGGCGCAAAAATCATTACCCCGTTTTGACCGCCAAGTTTCCTACCTCGCCCACAGAGCCGCTTCTCTGCTTTCTCTGCTTCTGGGCGCCTCTTGCGGGGACATCATTTAAGCGGTCCAATCAATATGGTTCTGTCTGGTGTGTCGAGGTTATTTCCAAAGTTGGTGACTAACGTAATTCGTTGATGTAAATGCTTTTTTTGATCGGAGAATGAACGTCTCACGTACTTTAATACGAATCTCC